TATACAACGGACTGCAGTTCCTAGAGGAATGAGGAGGAATACGAGGAAAAAGAGAAAGAGAGAGAAACTGAAAGAGGGTAGAAGACTATATTGCTCGGGGGAGGAAGTAGCAACCTCCATTTATTTTATTACATTATCATACCAACTAGGCGCTCGATAAGTGGGGCTTTAAAGCGACGGTTCTCAAATCGTTCTACGCGAAACTTCTGCGACTTTTGCCGACGGCAACATTCGCTTCAGCTTCAGAATCGAATATTCCATTTTCTCGAAAATTTAAGCATTTTGATTTTTTATTGAAATTACTAAGTTTTACATGCGTTAACAGACAGAATTAAAATTAATTTTATGAATATAAAGCAGATTATTTATCTATATATCTATATTAAAAATAAAAATGAATAAATATATTAAAATTATAATTAATTATTAATTAGTTATTTGTTATAAATTTTTCTTATCAAAAATGTTTTTAGAGATATCTATTATCAGAAAAAAATATCTTTTTTAAATATTCAATATGTTTCGCAATATTATTCCAGATATTCTTAATGTCTTAGTATAGTTTAAAGTTTTTAATTGATCAATGTTATATTGAAAATGTTTTTAAAAATTTTCTTGTCTATTTTGAGAGACTTTTTTTTATGTACAAGTGATATTAAAAATATATAATAATTATCAAAAAGTTCTGATGAATTAGCTATAAATAAAGAAACGCATTTATAATTTTTAATAAAATTGCTAATACAATTCACTAATATCAAAGTTTACAATTTATTTCGTGAAACAATTAAGAGTTTAAGAATTTAAATAGCTAGAGACTTTGAATAATAACAAAAATTGATTCCAAATATTTTTTCATATTCAGTTCTCCTCTACTACAGAAGTAAAAGTGTCGAAGTTTTATATAAAAGTTTTATATAAAAATGTAAATAATATCACATAATTTCTTTCTGTCGTAGCGTCGATTAGTCCAGGGGTCATTACAATCTTTATTTAAAATTCCTGTCGCAATTCCTGCCGATGCGAGTGTTGTTTTCGCGCTTTAACCAATTAGCTTCTCATTAAGTCCGAGCTACTGACTCAATTAAATCAGCGGCCAATCTGAAATTTTTACCGTGCGCTTTTTCGGCGAGGATTGATATGGAAAATTTGCGAACGAGCAACCAGACGGGTACGTGTGTTGCGACAATATGCAATCGCGTGTAGTCGAAACGGCGGTTTCAATTATATCATAAACGGAATTTGATGCAATGCATTTTGTTTGAGTATTAAATCGCGCATCGGGCCGCACGAGCCGCTCGTTAAGTAGAATTAAAACCGGAAGCGACATGATAGAGAGAGAGAGAGAGAGAGAGAGAGAGAGAGAGAGGAGAGAGAAGAGAGAGAATACTGTGCGATTTAACGACCATCGATTATCAACGCGAGTTTAAATTGAGCGCGAATACAATTATCCTGGCGGATTTTACAATCTCGTTAGACATATCCTTTTCACTGGGCACGCGACCGATTTAATTTCGCACAAACATTC